GGACTAGGGGCGCTATGGGGGGTCCCCCACATCTCCACTCCCTGCTTTCACCCACCTGGGGTGATCTCCAGCGCATCCCAGTGCCTCCAGCATCCCTTAGATGCTGGGAGTGGGTGGAAAAGATTTTTGGGTGCCCACCCACGGCAGGCTCTGGGGTCTTGCTGTCCTGCCCGGGTGGCATCTCAGCCTCAGGGAGGCTGGTTCCCCCCCAAAACCTGGGGGAAGGGGGTCCGGGCTGAGCAGTGCTTTGTGCCTCCCGCAGTCCCGGCCGGTGCTGCGCTGCCATAGACGGTGTTTTGCTGCCTCCCTACGGGAGGACGAGGTCCCCGGCAGCACCGGTTCCCGCAGCCCCGCCGGCTCCTCCGCCGGCACCGACCGGTGCCGGCGGAGGAGCCGGCGGAGCTGCGGGAACCGGTGCTGCCGGTGGGACCTCGCTGTCGCCCTCCCCGGGGGTGTCCACATGGAGGACCCATGGGGGGGCTTGGGGGGCATCCCCATAGCACCCCACCGAGCACTCGGTAGCCCCTCGGTAGCCCTGGCTGGCCTTGACGAGGCTATTGTTTCCCGTATTAGGCAAGTAAATTATTATTGAAAGCTGGGAAGAGGGAAGGGAAGGGGAAGCGTGAGAGCTCCTGGAGTTGGGACATCTCCAATGGTCAACAGGACTCTGAGGTCTGAGGGCTGTGGTCAACAGGATTGGGTGTGGGGTAAGAGGGGGGACCTGGCACTGCCCCACTCCTGCAGCCCAGGAGCACACAGGCATGAGGCAAGGGGACAGGAGAGCACCTGGGTGAGTATTTGGCACGGTCCCCACTGTGGTCCCACCAGAACCATCCCAACACCCCACCGAAATCCATCCTTCTGCACTGGATGGATTCACAGAATCACATGGGGTTGGCAGGGACCTCTGGAGATCATCTCCTCCAACGCCCCACCAGAGCAGGTCCACCCAGAGCAGGTCCCACAGGAACGTGTCCAGGTGGGGTTTGAATGTCTCCAGAGAAGGAGACTCCACCACCTCCCTGGGCAGCCTCTGCCAGGGCTCTGCCACCCTCAAACTAAAGAAGTTCATGTTTAGGTAGAACTTCTTATATTCAAGTTTGTGCCCGTTTCCTCTTGTCTTATCCCTGGGCACCACTGAAAAAAAGACTGGCCCCGTCCTCCTGACACCCACCCTTTAAGTGGCCAACCTGCCAGGGCTTTATATTTGGTGCTTGGTCTCAGAGGGGAGAGGATGGGGTGAGCATGGGGCAGCAGCAGTCCCGGCCGTGGCACACACTGACCGCCCCGTGCGGCAAAACCTCACCCTCCTTTCCAGCACGCCTTTGTCATCGGGAGGCAGCCGGTGTCCCCACCCTAGGAGAGGACATCGAGAGCCTGCTGAGCTCATGTTTGCATCACGGCTGATGCATTTGCCCACTGAAGCTGGATCTGAGGCCCTTTTTTATTTTTGGACATCTGCGAAGGCCGCTGGCCCTGCGGGGACGCTCCCTCCCCGCTGCTGAAACCCAGCAAAGCCCCCCGGCATCGCTCCTGCCCCGGCCCCATCTGCTTCCCACATCAAGTGTGGGAACCCCACGGGAACCACACACCCCCCAGCTCTGCTGGAGCTTCCTGCCGCTCTGCAAGGAGGTGACAGTGAAACCCCAGATAATCTTGAAACACACAGAGGCCCCGACCGGGGTCTGTGCTGTTGCCGCAGAGCAGCATGGAAGAGGGAACACAGCCACAGGCCCCGGGTGCTACCAGGCTCGGGGACATCCCCTGAGGTTGGCCCAGCAAGGTCTGCAGCCCATGGTGCCCTTGCCCACCCCAGCCACACACAGAGTCTCTCCCGGCCGGTCGTGCTCCCTGCGGGGTGGCTGGAGCCTGCCTGGGCTGGGCTGATCCTGTCCCCACTGCCAGCAGGCTGGCGCTGGGGGGGCAAAGCAGCCGGGCAGGAAACACCCAGCGATGGTTTCACTGATAAACTCGGCTTTTCTGGCTGCTGGCAGCTGTGGGCAGCCCAGCTCCTGGCGCCAGCCGGGCAGCGCTGCCGGGGCAGCCTCCCACGGCAGGACGGAGGGAGCTGAGCTGGGCTTTGGCCCACGGCCACGCTGTGGGGATGGTGCTGCTGCCTGGGCTGCAACAGGGTGTCCTGGGGCACGGCCACGGGCAGGGGGCTTGAGTATCAGGGGGTGGGCATGGCCATCCTGGGGGGACCTGGGGACCAGAGCATGGGCGTATGGATGCTGGGGGACCCAGGGACCACAGTGGGGGCATGGAGATGCTGGGAGATCATAGAATCATAGAATGGTTTGGGTTGGAAGGGACCTCAAAGATCATCGAGTTCCAACCCCCTGCCATGGGCAGGGACACCTCCCACTAGAGCAGGTTGCTCCAAGCCCCCTCCAGCCTGACCTTGAACCCCTCCAGGGATGGGGCAGCCACAGCTTCTCTGGGCAACCTGTTCCAGTGTCTCACCACCCTCATAGTAAAAAATTTCTTTCTGATATCTAATCTGAATCTTTTTTCTTCCAATTTAAAACCGTTTCCCCTTGTCCTATCATTACCCTTCCTGGCAATGAGATGTGGGGACCAGGGGGATGTGGGGGCCAGGGCATGGGCATGGGGACGCTGGAAGATGTGAAGGCCAGAAGATGGGTATGGAGGTGCTCGGGGGGGTGTTGGGACTGGGAGGGACACGGAGGGGGCCTGGGGATAGGCAGGAGCCTCCTGGGGGACACGGGGCTCAGGCTATGGCCGGGGACCCAGGGCTGGCCAGCGGGACCCCGGTAGGGGTGCGCGGCCGGGCTGTCGGAGGCGGCCCCGTCCCGTCGGGGGCGGGAGG